CATCCCAGGGCTGATGCCCCGTAAGCCATGGTCTCTGTCCAGCTTCTCAGGTTCTCTGTGGAGTACCCAGATTCAGGTCATTTCCTATGGGGTGAGGCAGGAGTATGGCTGGAAGAGTCTGAGTAGTAGGTCATCATGGGAAGCAGTGTGAGAGATCAGCCCGGACAGAGTCGAGCCCTGCAGAGGCTCAGAAGATCCAGGTGAGGAGACTTGTTTCTGATTTGAGGCCAGCACATGTACCAGGTCCTCAAGGAGAAAATGGGCACTAGGGACCCAGGTACAAGGGCTGCTTCAGCCCCACAAGCATCTCCACGCTGGGTAAGGATTACAAGGGAGGCTGGGGGTCAGCCACTCACTGACTTTTGGGGCTTTGTTCATCCTGATTCCCAGGATGTCGAGAACTGAGTCACAGTAAGCCCCACCTGACAGCAGCCGGCACTGGGGAGGACACCGAAGGCTGAGTGAGCACTGAGGCCATAGGCAGCATCACGGGCAGAGACAAATGTCACAAGGATGATTTCTTTCTAAACCAGACTTGTTTCTCTTAAAATAGGAGAGAATACTGTTTGTTGGCATCTATTATTGAAAGTAATGGTAAAAATCATAATCACTTTTGTACCAACGTAATAGAATCTAGGATTGGAAATGTAAATAAACCACCAGCTCATTAAACCACACCTTTAGTTGCCTTTAATGGCCAGGTCAGGCATTATCATTTCAGTGTGTATTTTGCATTGCTCAGTTAGGCAGCTTGTCTAATTTAGCGCCTGGGTAAGATCTGGAGAACATCTGGAAGAATGAGTATTGGAGTGTCCATCACTGACTTCAGAAGACAGTTCCATAAGTCAGAAAGGAATCATGGCTGAGAAGATGTCAGTATACTTCCCACTTAGTGATAAGGGAAAATTATTACCTACCTTTCTCTTAATTTGAGCTCATTAATCAGTAGTGATTGTGATCTGAGTGTCGCACACAATTCTCGTGGTCTTTCGCTGTAATTGTAGCTGTCATCGTGCAGCCTTAGCAGCACTATAATCCTACAAGGCTCTTCTTACGTTGAATCTTTCCATTTATCTCCATTTTCAAAATTGTTTTATACCCTCTAGTTTTTTGTTATTAAAACATATAGATGTAAGCAGAGGACTCTAGACAAACCTAGGTATAAACTTTTAAATAAAGCTAGCTTTGCTTTGCATTTATTTGGGAGCTCAACTGACTGGATTCGTTGTTTCTTATATCACAAAGGTGCAGTGGCATAGAGGGAAGAACTACAGTATTATCAAAGAAATTTCCTGTTCACAATGACATTGCTAAACACAGTGACAACAATACCTTCTACTGAGATAATAGCTGGTTGGGTGCCACATTTAATGGGAAGGTTAAAAAACGGCATCAGTTTATTCATCTTTATCACTAATATAGTGAAAATGTTTCTAAGAAAAATTAAGCTAAGAAAAGATTGCCATATTTTTGAGTAGCATTGCTTCTGAAGGCGGCACACCCACGCTTTGATCATAGCCATTATTTTTCATTCATGGTCCATGCCTCCTATTTTAAGCCATCCATTTTTCTTCTAATTTTAAGATTAAATAAAGGAAAATGAAAGCTTGTGTTATTTAGGATGAAAACACAGAACCTAATCACAGCTAATGAGTGTAATAAATGCTAGGCTGTACCTTCTCTGGTTTGGTATGTGTTTTATATACAGAAGGTAACATAGGCTGAGTAGGATGCCAAGTTACTGATGGGGATGTGGAATGCTGTCTGACAGCCGATTAGAGTCATCTGTCAGAAATGATGACTTCATCACCATAACAGACTCCACATTCCCTCACAGAATTCCACCCAGAGTCATCTAGTTTTCCTGCAATATTTTATTTTATTTTATTTTATTTTATTTTTTGCCAGAACTGAATGGCGATATTGCTGGGTTTTCCCCGTTTGGTGTACGATTTCAATGGAAATGTAAGTAGGTGGTAACTTTACAGCACAAAGGCTCATTTGGAGCCTGATAAGCCCAAATCAGATACTGGGGTCTGTAGTTTTTCTCCATCGCTGGATTATTAGCATATGGAGTTGAGCACTGCTAGCTGTATATATCCCAGGTGACCAAGAAAGGCCATTCTTTCCAGTGTGTTCTCTTAGCTTTCAGTTGGGACCTTTTCTCCTTCCCCTCAGGGAAGCTCCTATGCGATGCAAACTAATAATGAAGACGAGGACGATGACAACTGCAGTGGGCACTTACTGTGCCTTCAGTGTTTTAAGCGTGTCACACATATCATGGCTATCAGGAAAAAGTTGTAATTTATTTCCACTGTAGTTTTTTTCCCCTGGTTGGGAGAAGGGGATATGAGAGAAGGATCACTTATGTTTCTTTATTGTTATCAAACTCAAATCTGCTTTTTTTTTTTTTTTCTGGCTTAGATCACTTTTATAAAACCATGTCAGCAAATGGTGATTGGAAGTTTTCTGACCAGGCACAGTGGCTCGTGCCTGTAATCCCAGCACTTTGGGAGGCCGAGGCGGGTGGATCATCTTAGGTGAGGAGTTCGAGACCAACCTGGCCAACATGGTGAAACCCCGTCTCTACTAAAAAGACAAAAACTTAGCCAGGTGTGGTGGTGGGTGCCTGTAATCCCAGCTACTCAGGAGGCTGAGGCAGGAGAATCACTAGAACTCGAGAGGCAGAGGTTGCATTGAGCCAAGATCGCGCCATTGCACTCCAACCTGGGCAACATGGAGTTTTTGAGAGAGAAATTCCATCTCAAAAAAAAAAAAAAAAGAAGTTTGCTGTATGCCTAATGTGTTAATCGTGATACATAAAAGAACAACTTGAAATAGCGCTGATACTCAGAGGTTAGGTAAATGCCATGTATTCTGCCTCCATCATGGAATTGGCATCTTCAGAGGGTAACAGTGTTTTCCCAAATTTCCGAATCAGATAAATAGACCTTGCATAATCCAGGCAGTTAACACAAAGCCACATAGTAGGGCCTTTGGACATGAATGTTGGCTCACTCAACAATGAGTGGTCTTTGCTTTGATTGGTTTTATAGATTCCAGTGTATTTATTGCAGTATCAGTTGGTGAATACACCACAAAATGTAAGATCATTAATGTCAGTGATTCACAACTATTTCCTCTCACAGAAGGACTGATCCTAATCTTGTTTCTCTTCAGTTTGCTTCTCAGCATCTGTGTAGAACATTTCAGACAGCTGGCCCTGTGAAAGACACCTCAGAGTCTAATCCACTGTGTTAAGTTTTGAACCTCTGGATTCGAACAGAGATTTAACTCCGTCCTTGTTAGTCGAATGGCAAATTGGCCGGGGCTATACTTTCCTGGCCTGACTCTAAAGCTGTGTATTTTTTTATTTTCATTGCATGTTTTTAAGCTTTCTTTCCTGCCCTTTTCATAAAACCCAAACAATAATTTTTGTTCTTGAGCCAATTGTTAAAACATTGTATGTGTATGTGAAAACACACAGGTTAATGACACGCACATATAAAGTAAGTTTCTCGTTGGAAAGAAGCCTGTAAATTGAGGCAATCTTCATGTGTAGTGTGGAAAAGGGAAATTACGGTAATGTTGCAGATTCTTAGAAACCCCAAACTTGCTTGCACCACAACCGTGTGGATGCACATGAGAGGCAGCATGGGGTAGAAGCCTCGGGCTTGCGCTGCCACCGGAGAGACCTGGGTTCAAATCCCTGCTTTGCCGCCTGCTTGCTGTCTGACTCGGCCAGGTTATTTAGCCTCTCTCTGCCTTGGTTCCTCATAGGTACCGATTTCTGGGGCTGTTGTCAGAATTCAGTTAATTACCATGCATAAAGAGTCTGTAGAGTAAAGGTGCTTCAAGAATTAAGGTGAAGGGGGGAAGGCATCCTCTGTGTTAACAGCAATTATCTAAAGGCTCCATTCCACTTATCAGGAACAGTTATGACCTCCAGATGCAGTTTTTGTCCCAGTGATAAAAACTGCTTGTTATTTATTTTTTGAAACAGGGTCTTGCTCTTTTACCCAGGCTGGAGTGCAGTGGCCCAATTTCAGCTCACTACAACCTCTTCCTCCCAGGTTCAAGCGATTCTCCTGCCTCAGCCTCCCAAGTAGCTGGGATTACAGGTGCGCGCCACCGTGCCCAGCTAATTTTTGTATTTTTAGTAGAGATGGAGTTTTGCCATATTTGCCAGGCTGGTCTCAACCTCCTGACCTGAAGTGATCCACCCACCTCGGCCTCCCAAAGTGCTGGGATTACAGGCGTGAGCCACCCTGCTGGGCCAGCTGCTTGTTATTGATCTGACAGATTATTTTTGTCATCTGTATTCTTTCAGAGATGTCCTTCTATTAAAGATATCTTAGCAAGTTTACCATAGTGTTACTTTATTTTTTTCTTTTTTTAATGTGAAGGTTCTTGTTTAGTGGTCATTGATGTTAACTAAGTCACCATCCCTAAAGCTATTTTTGATTATTTCCCATCTCTGCTATCAGGAGCATAATAGAACAGTGACTGGAATTAGGGTCACTCATGAGGGAGACAGGTAAACCTCTGTGGCTTGGGGGCGCCTTCCTATGTAATAGAAGGTCTCGTGGCGGGGCACGCTCTCTTTCATTTGAGGGGATGATGGGCCTCCCATTTGTGGCAAATCTTTTAAAACGTGTTTTTAGCATTCCCAAATTTTTTTAGAGAAAAATTCAGAAAGTACAGGTGCCTTTGGCATTTCATAGTTAATATACAAGCGAGACACGAGTATTCTCCATGGATGATTTTTGTGTTGTCATGGAATGAAAGAAAAATACCAGTGGGTCTTTACTGGCCAGAAGATTTTCATTTTCTCACTTGGCACATAGCTCTTTCGCGAATCCACTTCTTTCCATCCCTTTCTCTACTTTTAAATATTTTATGGGCAATAGGCTTATAATATGTGCTAGCACGGCTGCTCTCTCGAGGGGTCAGGATGGGTTTAATAATGAGATGCGTAACAGTGACTCTGTAAAAACCCATTTCAGGTTAAAAATGGCATGTTTTATTGAATCTCATGTTAAAGGTGGTTAACTCATCAATTGGTGATGGCTGGGGTTAAACAAGTTCCAACATGAGTTCTCCCGTGTGTGAGGAACCAGCTGTGCCCCCTGCCCACAGACGCTTCCTTCCCCCAGGACTCTGTCTCCAGACTAGGCCTGTGCTGGCTCAGAACCCTCCCTTTCTGCAGCAGAGACCCACCAAGGCAGAGGGCTTCAGAGAGCCCCGTGAGACTGTGTCCATAGCAGCGACTCCGGAGAGCGTGGCTGCTGCGTGCGGCTGCTCCGTGGCCAGCTTCGCGGCGGCACCAGGTGGTGACAGCTGTTGGCAGAGCTGTGTGCAGCGCTCTGTGCATGCACTTACCCCTCAGACTTGAGAAATGGCTTTGCTCCAAAGTCGTACTCTCATTTTCATTTTCGTGAGTCACAGCTGGGCCCTTGTGTGAAGAATCGAAGGTCAGCTTACTCAGGAGTGAGGGGCATCAGGCCCAGTCACGGGCCAGCCAGGGTGAAGACCAGCGTGGACCACTGAACTCCGGGACCCTGTGTGTGTAGGGAGGGAGAAGAGGTGGGAGGACCACGAGCCGCTTATCCCCAGGAGGTGGGACGAAGCGGGACTCCTGATGCTGGGAGTGTGTGGTCTGCCACCAACAGATGGCTCCTACCAGGGCGACAGGGATGGAGGCGTCGGTGGCAACTGGTGCTGGGTAAGAACCGAGCCACCGTGTGCAGTCATGGGTGCAGAAGCTTAGCTTTGAGGTAGAAGGGACAATGAGACGGGCCTGTCCTCAAGAACCTCCAGCTCACTGAAAGCCCAAGCAGACCCCTGAAGGACCATACCTCCGTGTACCGAGATGCTCCTCTCCACGGGCTCCACCTTCACTGTGCACAGGACGCCGACTCTTAGTACACAGGAGCAACAGAGCTTCAGCAGATGCCGTCTGAGGACCACACTTAACTCTAGTTCCTTCTCCCTGGGAGGAAGGAAGGGAAGGAGCCCTTGAAATTTCCCCTTTTGCTATGTTTCACTGGTTTTTAAACAAATAGGGTTAAATAGAGACCAAGACATTAACCAGTACCTTAACGTGCGGCTTTAGGCAACGTGTTATTCTGGGGAAAAAAAAAAAAAACTTCTAAAAATTCATGTGCTGTCAAGGAAATCTTCAAATGAGTGGGTTTAGAAGCCTTTCTTGAGAGCAATGCGAACTTGAAGAAACGTGTGAAGTCCCATTTACTCCCGTCAACAGGATCTATTTCCAAAACTCATGCTCCTGCCGTTTCCCTGCAAGCATGCTGCAGCCTTGCGTGAGAGGACCGGAGATCTATCATCTTCCAAGCTTGCTGCAATTGCAGCTGAGATGAACAGACGTAATAGACCTATTAATTATTTCATCATGACTCAGGACAAGCACTCTGTAAAGTCAGAGGCTGGTGTCTGTAAAATTGTTAGACTCATTGGACAGTATAGACAGCTCATGACAGCACAGACCACTGAAGATTTTTTTAGACACAGCCCATACTGTGTCTAAAAAATACTCCTGAATTAAAACTTCCCATTCTGTGCGGCTGGAGATGCAGCCTCAGTTTAATTAGCACACATCTCTTCAGAGACTCCTTGCGAAAATTCTGGAAGATCGTGTGCTCCCTTGTAGACAGAGGAAGGAGGTAGCCCCTGGGAACTAGCCTCAACCCTGACCCTAGCCACACAGTAGGTAGATTGAATTAGTGACCAGCACCTCACCTGGGCTTTCCCCTGGTCTCCTGCTGTCTGCTGGGACCTGCAGGCATGTGCAGGGCACAACATGAGATCCTGCCTCCAGCCCCATCTAACTCTGGCAGCGGGGAGGGCCAGGGTCCCTAGTCATGGGGAAGCAGTTGAGAAGCAGTGGTTCTACCCCACCGATTTCATCATTAGCTCTTGAGAAGGGTGCTGAGGGTGTGACCGCCAGCTGCCTGTCCCGGCATCTAGGGTGGTTTTAATTAAGGAGTGAGTAGATGGGCATTGTTTTCTTTTTACTTGAAATTGTCCAGCCCATGAACATATTCCTCACTGTTAGTCTTGTGCTTTAGGTGTCTTGTTTTCGGTGAATGTTCTTTTTAACAACTTCCATTGGCCGGGCACCGTGGCTCATGCCTGTAATCCCAGTACTTTGGGAAGCCAAGGCGGGAGGATCACGAGGTCAGGAGATTGAGACCATCCTGGCTAACACGGTGAACCCCCATCTCTACTAAAAATACAAAAAAAAAAAATAGCCGGGCGTGGTGGCGGGCACCTGTAGTCCCAGCTACTTCGGAGGCTGAGACAGGAGAATGGCTTGAACTCAGGAGGCGGAGCTTGCAGTGAGCTGAGATCGCGCCACTGCACTCCAGCCTGGGCGACAGAGTGAGACTCCGTCTCAACAAACAAAAAAAGACAGCTTCCGTTGCTTCCTGTATTGGTTAGGTTATCATATCATTGTTCTTGATCAACAGTAGGGCCTATTTTCTCTTATTCTGTGCCTCCAAATAAATTGTTCTTTTCCCTGAAATGTCCTTTCCACATCTTCTGGTTAACATGAGGATCCTTTGAGAATGAACGCAGACATAGCTTCATGTGAGACGCCTTCCCCAGCGTGTCCTTCCTCCATCTGTGCCTGGTGTCTCTTTGAGTTCACACCCTACAGCTCTTAGCATGCCTCTTATCACGCTGCAGGAAGTAGTTGCTGTATCTGTCCCTTCTACCACACTGCAAGCTCCATCACCATGAGAACCCCTTCTCATCCTCCTCTTCCCAGCGTCTAACATGGAGTGTCTGGTGCAAACGAACACGTGAATAGACGAGCAGTCATACTGGGTCAAATCATTGAAACCATTTCTGTTACAGGGGAAGAATTCTTTTTCCATCCTTATACTTTAAAACTTTCAACTAGAATGTCTACTCTTTTATAATAACTTAACTACTCAAGAAATCTCCCGAAGTTCTAGGAGTCGGAAGATTTTGAGGAAGTGAAACAGTATTATGAGAATGACTCCTCCCACCCATTTTTTTTTGTCTTCCTTGACATTTACATCTTGTATGTGATCAGAAATCTGTAACTCAAATGAACTGTTCATGGTAATGAGCCATTATTAATACAGTCCTGATTGAACACCTTTCTCTAAGAAGGTCACAATGCTTTGCATACATTATCTAGCTTATCTTCAGAACATACCTGAAGTGGGGTGACCATCTATTCGGAATTCACCATGGTCTGACCATCCACAGCTCTGCAAAGTTGATTTTTCCCCTGCTGAGCCCAGGAAAGAACAAAACGAAGTTCAGGTGTGCAGTGGCAGTAGCTGAGTTATTACTGCTGCTGCTTCGCTGAGCCTTCTGCAGAGTCTTAGGACAGCACAAGCCAATTCTCTGAGCAGCTGCACGAATGCTAAGCGTGTAGTCTTGGTGTCATACGAGTCATGCAGCTACAGAGATCAGGTCCTACAGGAGTTAGGGGGAAGGGAAGATTACTTCCCCCTAAGGGGATATCGCAGGTGCCTTCCAACGAGTGTGTGTCTGCCCCCTTCAGTGAGTGAAGCATCCCATTCTTAATCGAAGGCTCCTATGGCCAAGTCCCACATGGGACAGTTTATGGAGAAGCAGTGTGGTTTAGGGGAGGCATCACCAGATTAAGAGTAGAGATATTAGATTTGTGTGATCCCAGCTCTGCCGTTAACCACCTGTGTCTATGCAGTCACTTATTCCCTTCATACCTGTCAGCCGAGAGCACTGACTGCATGACTTCCAGGGTCCTTTACAGCTTTAGAGTACAGGGGTTCTGTTTTTGCTGCTCCCGAATTTCCACCTCCCATCGTCCACACATTTCACAGATGCATCTGAATGCTCACAGTGCTCTATTTGCGCTCGTCTTCTGTTTGTCCCTGTTTTTTATGTGGACGCGTATCAACGCCCATGATGGACTGCACGCTCCCTGCGGGCAGGAGCCATGTTCGTTTCATTTTTGTGTCCCATGCATAATGTAGGTGCACTCACCTCGTCTGTCCCGTATCTTGAACCTATGAATCTCATCGGACTCTTCTCAGCAGAAAAACCTGTACAAGTCTTTCCTGTCTTGAAAGGACAGATGGGTGGCCCGCATCCTCCACTGAGCTTCCTGTTGAACCCCCTTTGCAGGTGATCTCAAAATAGAAGAAGACCTCATTCACCATATCCGCTGTTATCCTCCTCCTTTCCCCTCCACTTCCCATGACCAGGTGTTCTCTGCCACTCCACAGAACCTGCTCTGATAAATCCCCTGAAGAATTTTTTATTGCCAAATCCAAATTCTTTGGCCTCTCACAGTGTTTGCTGTGGCCGGCCACTCCCTCATTCTGGAAACTCCTCTCTTCTCGTGGCTGCCATGGGACCAGTTGCTCCAGCAGCTCCTCCTGCCCCTTGCTCTGCCCTCCTTGGACTCCTCTTTCCTGGTATTCTCTGCAGTTCTGTCCTCGGCTCTCAGCTCTTTGCACCCTTCTTTCCCTCGCTGACAGCCTTGCGCATACCTGTGGCTTCACTGCCACGCTGAGGAACATTCTGTGTGGCCCTGGCCCGTCTCTCGAGCCTGAGCCCCATGATTACAACTTCTGTCTGCACCCCACAGTCACATCAACCTTAGCATGTCCAGACCTGCGCTCTTCAGCCGCCTCTAAAACTCTTTGCTCGTGTTTTCCCCATTCGGGCAATCATCCCACCGTCACCTGGTTGTACAGACCTGGAGTTCCCCTTCTCCATCATGCCCACGACCAGCCAGTCGCCATGGAGTTCAGCCTCTACCAGTTTTCCCTGGTCTGCAGCAGCAGCCTCTTAACTGTCCTCCCTGCCTGTGTCTCTCTTCTATAGTCCATCCTCCACACTGCAGCCAAAATGGCTTTTCAAGAATTTTGATCTTGTTGCCTTTGTTTCTTCTTCTGTACCTGACCACATACTTTCAGACAAAATTTCAGTTCCTTAGCTTGCAAGACCCTCTGAGAGCTGGGCGTTGCCCACCTTCACAGCCCTTCCCATGGTCCTCCATGCTCACACTGGGAGCTCCCTGTGAGAGGGAACTGTCACCCTCCCGCTTACTGGGTCACTGCAGGGCTGCCCCATGGGTTTCACATGGCAGTCCCCTTTTGCTGCTGGCACGTCCAAGGACTCAGCCCAGATGCCGCCTTGGCTTTCCTCACCAGGCAGGATTAAGTCCGACATCCCTGGACTCCTGTGGGCTCTGTCCTGCCTCTCCCCACACGCCTGCCAGGGTGCTTACTGGCTGAGGGCTCAGCATCTCTCCTGCCATCCCACCCCCGCCATTCTCCGCCCGCCGTCCCACTCCCGCCACACTGAGCACCTGAAGGGAGGACCTTCTTCACTGGCCTTTGTTCCTGGTGTTTGGCCTAGAGCCTGACAGACAGTAGCTGTTTGCTCCATACTTGTTGGACAACCAGACAGATGCATGCTGGGAGGATCACTTGCTCAAAGACTCTGCCCATCTCCCCCTGGCATGTTACTAGTCCTTCTCTCCATTACTGTAGGATAGAGGTCACATTCCTCAGCCCAACTCATGGCTTTCCACAGGTGACTTGTCCTGCTTTTGAAGAGGCAGCTCCCTTAGCCTCTTTCTTCTCCCTCCTCCTCTGTTCTGAAGACCCGGGCCGGCATTAGGTGCACGTGATCCTGACTGCCTGATAATAATTTCCCATGATGAAAGTAGCAGAGCCAAGTGCCATTTCCCTTTCATTTAAATTAGATAAAACCCAGAGCTGTGGCTTGCAAGCGATGGAAGTCCACTGGGGAAATGAAAGGTTCAGAGAGAATGGGACCCGTTATAATAAAAGCATTTGCACAGCCAGTGATTCCATCCACCCTGTGGCTTCTGTGTTCCTTGGAGTGCAATGAAATGTAAAGCAGGAGGACCTTTGGAGGTGGTTTGGGGAATGGATTCTAATTGGAAATGGTGGCGGCATTCTGTGCTTGGAGCACGCTCTGCAGACGGGGCAGCGGGTGTGATGGGCACTTTATGAAGAGCCATGGGACCCCCGGGTCTGCTGTAGCTCAGGACCTCGGCCCTGCTGTCTCAAGTCCTTTCCACTCTGGTCATGTACTGGACATGATGGGAAGGTGCGCGTCGCCCTCCCTTCCGCCCTCCTCCTCTCCATCCTTCCTTCCATCATTCCATTCTTCAGTGGTTCTGTGTTCCTATTCTGTATTTGTATTAGCATTTAATAAAAATTATATACTGGCACCGAAGTCAGTCAACTGCTAGCTCTTCAAATTACTCATGAGACCTAAGAAAAACCTATGTGACAAACATAGGCTGGCCAGAAAATCCTGCATGATTTAAGTTTATAATAATCTTTATAATGATACAATAACAATAGCTAAGTTATTTTTAACATGTCTTAGCCTCTACTTATGAAGCACTTTACATGTATTTTCTCGTTTAATTCTGACAGCCTTACAATTCAGGTGTTATCTCCATCTCACAGATGAGGAGACCGAAGCTCAGAGAAGTTAAGACACTTGGTTGAGACTGCATAGCTGTAATAAACGGCAGAAGCAGAATTGCCTATAACATAGAGGCAGAAACCATATTGAGTGGCAGAACCAGGTTTCAAACTGAGGTCTGACAGCAGAGCCCAAGCTTTTAAATATGTTCTGTGTTACAGGGTCCCGTGACTTAAAAGGGTTTGATTCCTGAACAGAAAACACAGGCTTGCTTTTTAACATAGTTAATATTACCTGGGAGAAGTCTTATTATTACTTATGTGCCCTTAAAACAGTATCAGTAATCAAATTGCTTCAGATTTCTGTATTTTTACAGTTGTTCAATCTGCCTTTACTTTCTCACTTTTGTGTTTTTAGATGCATCATCCCATTCAGATGAAACCTGCAGATAGTGAAAAGTCAAACGGTAGGTGGTAACCAACTGTCTTGTTTAATAATATCTGCTGCTTTAAATTACAAAGTCAGTTGGGGGCGGGAGAAGCTGGCCCGGCTGCTTTTCTCTCTAGAAGGCAGATAGCGCTGCGCCAGGAACCTTCTCTGTGACCTGGATGTCTGAAGGAATGCACTCTCCACTCTCCTCTCTCCTGTCCCGTTGATCTCTGGCGTAAAGATGTATGTTACAAGCAGTGGCTTTCTGTGTCCTTCTGTTTGGGACTTGTCCTGTACAGGGACCCTGTAGCATTTGGCTCCTGTCTCCTCCAACAAAGCAATACAGGGGCATCTCCTGGAGATCCAGAGGACATCCGCAGGAAGGGAGTTGCCCATGAAGAATTAGGCTATCTTTCTGTGAGTGGGGAGTGGGGCTGGTTTTTGTTTTTTTACCTTTTGCATGTGTTTTTTGGACTCGGAGACTGCCTTATTGTACTCTTCTGTAAATTGCACTGATGCGTTTGCATCCGAATTCAGAGTTCCATCTGCTGATTAAATCAACGTACACTTGGTGCAAAAATCTGCATTTGATGAGGTCCATAAATAATTGGGTTTTGCCTCTTCGAGACACGAGAGAGTTGATAGCCACATTTCCCTCTTTAAGTTTTTGTTTCATTTCTACGAACCTTCTGTCCCTGTTTTGTTCTTTTAATTTACTGAAATGTATGTTAAAAGAATCTTCTACCATCCTAGACTGGAGAGCGGCTCTGTCCCATAAGACTGACATAATCAGCACTGTTTCCTTCCAACAGGCAGTTTTGCACCTCATTAATTAGTAATCAGGGCAGAAGCCATGCACTTAGAGATCTGCATATGGAAATTATGATTGGGTTCTAAATCTCTCCACAAGGTATTTTTTGCTAATTGTAGTGCATTCCATTTTCTGGCTTCTCCACAGACTAGAAAGTTTTGAAGAAAATTCCAAGTCATGGCATGGTGCTGCCAGCACCCGGCTTGTCGGAGCTTTCTTCTCTCAGCTCTCAGCAGAACGCACTGGCCCACACCTGTAGTCGAAGCTGCTCAGGAGGCCGAGGCAGGAGGATCCCTTGAGCCCAGGAGTTCAAGGCCAGCCTAGGCAACATAGATATATAAATAAAGAAAATTTAAAAATAGCTTTTCTCTCTCTAGGAGGGGACTTCGGTGCTTTAACCACTGTCGTCTCCTCAGCCCTGCACTTTACTTAGGGTTAATTCTTTATTTTCTCTACTGCTTTATCACAAACATGACACTTAGCACCAGAAGTTGTCAAATCCGCTGCTGCTCTGTGGCCCCTTGAGCGAGCTGTGCTGCTCCTGCAGCCACCAGTTGTTCATTCATCAGTTACCATGTGCCAGGCATGTTGCTAGGGGCTGGGGCTGCAGCACTGAATAGGAAAAGGAAGAATAAAAGACCCCAAGAGACTGTGCCTCAGACCTTGTGGAACTGACATTCAATCTACTGATTTTAGTATCCAGAAGTCACTGAAACACTGAACCTGAATCTCCACATTTGTAAAAATGGAATTAATGGTAACTGTCTCACCTAAGTTGGCTTCCCCCCAGCCCAAGACTCCAATAAGATGTTTGTAACGTCTCTGTAATGATTGAATGCTCCTATGAAATGCTGATTCCTGTTTACACCCCGAGGTGGTCTCCTGGCCTCTGCGGGCTCTCCACGGAGCGTGCCGGCCTGGGAAGACGACCACTTCCCCCGGGCGGGCTCCTTTCAGCGCTTGTGCTCCGGAGGCGTGTGCTTGGAGTCTGACTTCCTTGGTGGGAGACAGGAGGGATGACCCTTGTATTTTGGGGTGAATCCTGTTGGTGCAGGTCATCTCAGAGAGTGTGGCCACCGAGAAATGTCCCCTGCCTTTGGCTCCGTAATACTCTAAACAGTGTCAGGACAAGGACCATGGAGTAAAAGTCTGTGGAAAAGGTTTTGTCTCATTTCTGAACCTTTGGTTGTAGTTATAGAAACTTGACAAATTAGAGAGCTGAACTGAAAACATTGGACTTGAAAAATCCCGGTACTGAAACACAAAGGGGTATTTTTCTTTTGCGTTTTCTGCTGTGCAGGTATTCATCTGCCTCAGAGAACCCTTTCTACAGGCAGCTGCCAGGAGTTTGCAGAGTGCTTTGTTGCTCTTTCTGTCCAGCGTCCACCCTGGTCCCTGAGAATCATGTTTGCTTTGGGTCTAGAATCACAGCACATAATAAAACTGTCATGGGCACACCCAGTGTTGCATGATCACGGAAGCCAAGGAGGACCGGGCACCGTTACTTTAGGATGAGACGGTTATGTGAAAATGCTGTTTTTCAAGCATCAGCCTAGGGTAGCGGTTACGAACTGTTTGGAGAAGCCTGGATTTGACCCCTGACTCCACGCTTGTTGGTTTTGTCCTCGGGCAAGTTATTTAACCTTAGTCAGCATCCGTGTCTCTTCAGCTGTGAGAGGGGGCTACAGTGGTGTCATCTGAACACTTGTAAGGCCCGTCTTACAAGGTTATTTGAGGTTTACATAAGTTAACATCTGTAAAGAGCTCAGCATAGCACCCAGCACATAGTAAATATCCAGTGTGCTAAGTTCTGCTAAGTTAACACTGTGATTCCACTCACCGAGGCAGCCTTTTCAGTACATTCTGAGCGGCAGAGGCTGGCCTGTCCAGGCCTGGGCTGTTCATACCGAAGCATAGCTCTGTATGTACAAATGAAAACCCCCAAGCCTTCTAGTTGAGCCAGTTCTCCCTTTGCTTTGTGGATTGACCTTCATTTTCTGAATTTTCAGTAAGAAAAGTCCAAAAATATAAATGTGCTGAAGGCTGCTTTTAAAGGGCTTTTCTTTCTAGAGGCCCAAATGGAACCTCACCTTGCACAGACATGAACAGTTTCAAGGTTCTCTTTGGACCTCACTGAGGAATCAGGAGGAATATGTAGTTTTCTAAAGCGAGTGATAAAAGCTGCAAGCCTTTTCTCATTCCACATGGCATTTTTGACAGGTAAGCATAGCTTCTAAAGCTCAAAGAGCACAAAGATTGCTTTGGCTCAGTTGCTCTAAATAGCTCCTATAGTTTTGAAAGAAGTATAACGAGCTCTAATTGCACTTTTATTGAGTTTGCTGACATTTATGGATAGCACAAAGGGCTCATCACAGTTAGACACTTACTGTCTTCATTATCACTGTGTTCAGATTTCTAAAACTTTGTATTTGCTGAGCAAGAAGGAGCTGCTAATCATGGATTAATTCGTGATGGGCAGGTGAACTCCAGAAAAGCAGTCACCCTTGGCAGCTTTTGTCCATCGAGCGATTCTGAGAGAGGAAACCTCTAGGGTGAGCCCCGAAACGTTAGGTTGCGCTCAGATCAGCCCCGCACTTTGGGATTTCACTGAGCAGACTTCCCGAGTCTCCATGGCTTCTTATAACCTGCCCTTTAGTTGGCTCTGTTTTAAGCTGCAGCCTCTGGCACACCGATGGAAGCTCGCGGCATTGTGTTTCCTGTCCACGTGCTCCCACAGGGCCAGGTTGTCCAGAAGGAAAATAATCCCACTCTGGAGAAGCAAAAACTCCTGGGGCTGCTAAGGGGAGCACACTGAGGAAACCACCCACCTTTCAACAGAATCCGCCTTTTTTGTTATTTTTCCGTTGCAGAAAGTCGAATGGTGGGACAGGCAGGGTATTTGAGGAGGTGTGGATTGCACGCACTGTCATAAACAAGCAGAAACGTACTTACTGTCTTTCATTCTCTGTGCCATCCAGCTTTTGCTCCTCTGTTGCTGTGCCCAACGAGGTGCCAGCTGTGCAGTACTGAAAGTCACAAGCAGTTGCTGAAGTTAGGCTGGCAGTGAGCGATACAGACAGAAGCTGCTTTGGTTCTGGTTCTGGGTCTCAGAGGCTGGAGCTGTGCTCACTCTGATGTCTTTGCCTCTTGCCACAAGGGGAGTTGTTTGTTGTCTTTACTCTATATACAGAGCGTAAATCCATCCATCCCACTTTTACCCTCCAACCTCACAATTTGCTGGGGGTCCTTAACGCCTAGAACCCAGAAGTGTCACTTAAGCCTGCTGTGTGTGTGTCTCTCTCAAGGCCTCCAAAACCTCCAGTGTCCATGTGTCAAGTTCAGAGCTAGCAGGAGTCAAGATAACTAAATATTGTCAGCAGAGGGTGCAGACCTGCAAAGCCTCCATTAAAAATAGGGATCATGGAGTGGCTCCATCCAGTCGCTTTCTGATTCACTGGAAGATGAAGAAATAATTTTGAAATTCAAAGTGGAGAGACTCACAGATTTGGAGGCAGTAATTAAATGCCATATGTTAGCACTAACACATTGAAAAGTTGTTAATTAATTCAGGCAGCCCCAAATCCAGGTGCGACTTTGACAGATTGTACACCCGGGTGTTAGCACAGACTTACAATTAGGGATTTTTTTTTTTTAATGAAGTTTCTATTCCCCTAACTTAAAAAAGTCACCCCATGTATTTAAAGTATTAACCCATTCTCATCGTATCATGGAAGGTAGACTTCAAATGGCTGCTGGTGTGGAACCTCTTTTGATTCTGTGGTCATCATTACTAATCGGCGGGGGGGGACCCCACCTGTCCAGCACTTCATGTGTAAAAGCATTTCCCTGCGTTTATTCAGTGTCTGTCATGGAAAGTGACTTTGCCCCTAGAGGGCAGGGACCTTTTTAAGTGTTTTTGTTTTGTTTTGTTTTTGTTTTTTTAATCCCTTAAAGCACCTAGCAGAATACTGTGAACACAGTACATTTCATTTAAACAACTGACTTTCCTGTAGGTTGAAAAAATAAGTGAGATACTTAGTGCCCATGGATACTCAGGAAAAACTCACCAAGATGGTCATCAAAAGTTGATAAAAAGTTAAGTGAACTCAGAATAACTGTGTTCTTGTAGAATGTTTACAGAGCCGTTGGGGACCCTCAGAATGGGAATTTGGGGGGTGAATTGTATGACTAACTTGTCCCTGGAAAACCAAAAAAAATAACAACTCAGAAGAAAGCTGGGCATGCTCACTATTCCCCATTTTGCCTTTAAAGCAAACACAGCCCAACTGTTGAAACCACAGAGCAACGTTGGCTGGTAAGAGATTCCCAAAGCCCAGCACTTCTGGGCACACGCACAAGCGCGCCCACACACCACACACACAGATGGAAGTTAACGTTTTGATAACATAGTGACGGAGGTTTCCATTTTTTTTCTTGGCTAATACTTGCTATTTTTAGAAGTGGGAGTTATCTTCCTTCTTGCTGCCTGGCTGAGTTGACCCTGAGTGATGGCTAGGAAGTCAGCATTTCTTCATGAGTAGTTTCCATTTTCTTCATATTCGTCTTAGGAAAAAAATCATTTTTAGGCTTACCCAGAAGCTGCGTGTTTAATTTACTGTGGCATCCCCCTGAAGCTCAAAACCTACAAATTGTTGTAGCTAAATACCATAATTATTGGTTTACCCGTGAAACCAAGGACTTGGTGGGAATTTTTCATTTGCTTTTGTTTAGAAGAACTAAAACCAGATTGTTCAGGGTGAAAAGAAACATAACAGGAATTTTATTTTTACTCACAAAAATGCCAGCCATAGTTTGCTGGGGGTAGGAGTCTCGGAGATGAGAGGGAAGGAGTCCTGGTGATACTTCTCCCTATTCTACCCCCTTTCCATCTCATCTCTCCCCTTCCTGTCCGATCTCTCCCCTTCGCATTCACGGGAATGCCACATTTCCACGGGGCCTCCGCCACCAGAATCCTCACATGTTAGTGAGCACAGGCAGTGTAGACAGCCTGCAGCAGGTGGTATGGATGGCCTGCAGGTGAGCTCCTTGCCCAGGGTATCTGGTGTCTCTCTGGCTTCGTTGTTGGGCCTGTGCTGCCCATGACTGACCAGGCTTCACCAGTTCACAGCGGATCCGTGCTACTTTGCCTTCTCTGAAGGGAGGAAAAAGAACTTGAATTGGAAGTTTTCCATTGGCGTACAGGAGGTCAGGTCCTCAGCGGTCTCCCTCCCGGGAATTAGATCCCGGGGTGCCTGTTGCCCGTGTCTCCTCTGAGTCTGAACACAAGCAGTGGCTCAGGCCAGCGAATGCTTTCCTTGCTGAGCTCCTTCTCTGCACATGAGGCTGAAGATGGGACATGCCATCCTGAGGTCAGGCTGCTGTCCTCCATCCACCCAAACCAGGTCTCTACTACTCCACACTCCGCACCTTGCCTGGTTAGGACCTCGTTCTCTCCCACCTCCGGTCTCTCCAGACCCTTCGTCCAGCTTGAGTTCCACATCCCCCAGCGAGCCTTTCTCAAACACTTGGGTGCACAATTCACAGTTTACAAGTATCGTGGAATTGTGCTTTTCAACTTGTATTCTTTGATGCACTAGAGTTTCTGAGGTGTTGCAGGAGCTGTCAGTGGGGAGAGAGCTGGGTGGAAGGGATTCTGACCCCCCACTCACCGTCCCCGCCTCAGGAACCCCAGTCAGCCCAAGTATGACACGGGCCGCCTTCTCTCCATTTCTGGGAGAGAGGAGCGTTTAAGCCTTCATTCCACATATGACAAAACAGGAGGTCCTCAGAGGTCAGCCTGTTTTCCAAGGACACATATCAAACTAATGGCAGCACTGGACCTAGAACCTTGATCGCCTAATCACGGCCATTGTTCACCCCTTCAAGCCTCCTCTCCTCCTCTGAACTTGGAGGAGACACAGCAGGGGAAGGAATCCTGGGCTGGGAGGGGGACTCCAGGCTGTGGGCCAGGCTGGTCGCTCCCACACTGGACCTTGGGAGATCTTTTGGAGATAGACAGAAGCTCCCTTAGGTCTCTTCCTTCCGCTCTGGGATTCTATGAAGAGGAGCCTTTAGCTGTCTCCTCTAGGCCCTTGAGGGCTGTGCTGGCCCATGGAGCAATCATGTGTGGCTCTTTAATTAAAAGTACGTTTTAGAGAAGCACTTCCTCGATCACACCAGTCCCTTTAAGTGCTCAGCAGCCACACTGTGTCAGCAGCACTGCAGTAGAGGAACCCACCTGTTACCAGTACACCTGCCCCAGCCCCTTTGCAGCATAGATGCATGCTTTAGCATCCCGAAGGAACTGGCTCCAGTAAGTCTGGGATAACTGCTCATTGGTTAAATGAAAATGAGACACTTCCTGTCCGGGGGAGGCATAAAAGAGAAATAAAAGCCAATTAAATAGGAATGACAAAATGATAATGCAGATTCAAAAGAAACGTTTATGCACAAGTGACTTAAGGCAGAGCCCTCCTCTAGGCCAGGACATCCTTCAGTCTGGTTGCAGCTGGCTAGATTTTTTTTTTTCCTAAGAAATAGATTGAAATGAAACGATGGAAAAGAAGCAGGACTTTTCCCCATGGGTGTCTGTGATGTCCTAAAAAAAAAAAAAAAAAAAAAAAAAAAAAAAAAAAAAGTCCCCTCTCCTAAAAAGGACTCCAAATGCTGTCTTGAAATCAGTTTTAACCTCGCCTTTCAGGCTGAAAGTAGTTCGCATGTCCTGAGCACAAGCATGGAGATTTCGAGGAAAATCTCCCGGGTCCCGTGAGGTACAACGTGTCTTGTCTTCCCCACCATCAGGTGCCCGGGTTAGAATCTGCGTGTTATACTCATGATACCCAAATGCACTTTCATTCCCCGAGAATCTTGCCTTCCGGTGGTTAGCGCAGTATTGTTTCCTTCTTGATCATTTGTGAAGGGCTGGAAGCTCAGGACTGTCCAAGGTGTTTCTCCAGCAGCAGCAGCGCCGTTCTCCTCTCTAGAATCGGCTTCCTGTTCAGCCGTAACTAAGCTGGCTGCTTAGAAGTAGGTGCGGGGCCTGGTTGGCACTGTATCACCAATGTCGCGGGAAGGAGGTACTTTCCTAGCTCCCCAGAGCCGGGAGAATCTCTGATCTCTTATTCTTGTCTAGATCAGCAGGGATGAAGCTTTTTGAAACAGAAAAATGTTTTCTTCCCTCGAATGCTTTGTGCAAAGTTTCAGGCGCTGTTTCGCTCCAGCTGCCCCTGTTGTCTTTCCTCTCCTGGCCTTTCTCTGTCCCTGTCATTCAGGTTAAAAGAACATCTACAAAAAACCCAGAATGAAATCTGTATCCAGAAGTATCCCCAGGGAATGGCAGTGTTGAACAGTTATACAAGTACTTTGGAATTTTAGCACATTACCGTTAATTTCTGAATAGGAGAAAATAACAGTATTCCATGTCATATTAAAACATTTTGTTAGTAAGCACAAGCGCACGGGGGAATGGGTTCAGGAAGCGCCAGGTGGGAGGGAGTGGCAGGGTGGGCACATGGAGGGAGGAGGACGGCTGGACATCTGCAGAGTTGGCCTTGGGACACGTGCCTGGTCTCACATGGCTGGGGCCCGGTTTGATGGGGTAATGAAGCATTGATTACAAGAAAAAAAGATGAAATGGCCTTTGCTCATTCCTTACTTTTATCTCCTAGCTGTGGAAGATAGAAAATTGTTCATAGGAATGGTTTCGAAGAAATGTAATGAAAACGACATCAGGGTGATGTTCTCTCCATTTGGCCAGATAGAAGAATGCCGGATCCTCCGGGGACCCGATGGGCTGAGTCGAGGTGAGTGTGCTGTCTGGAAAGCCTCTCCCCTTCAGTGCTAATTGGAGCTCTGTGTCACAGTCGAGACAGATGTAGGCATCGCACACGGCAAGAGGTCACCCTGTAATACATTCCGTGTGATAAAGTTATCCAACCTGAACTTTTCACCATAGCTGAAATGATCACCTTTGATTTCTCCCATTCAGAAGGCCTTGGTGCCACCATATTAGCTCAAGTTATCACTGTCAGGTGTGCAGCCAACAGGCCGCCCTACTGCTAGGCATCCTTTTCAATCTCAAACCGAAGTGGATTTGGTGGGGGGAGGTGCAAGAAGGAGAGGTACAAAATGAGAAAAGATATTTGTTGTGTTCCTCTTAGTCCTCGGGCTTCCTGCCTGTGCCTGAAAGAAATGTTAAGAGTACAGTGACACAAACCAGGAAAAAAGCGCGTCAGTGTTCACATGTAGTGCAGAGCAGATAGGGACGTAGGGTAACTGGGCCTGTCTTGGGGTATTAGAGTTTTATTTCAAAGAATAAAACTCCTGGAGTCCTGAGCCAGGGGAACTCTTTAAGTGACAGAAAAGTGACTTTACCCTGAAGACGATTGTAGGCTCTTCTTTGCCACTGTGATAGAAACAAAAGCTGTAGCTCAGAGCCTTGACAATAAGCCGGTATTTACCAAATAGTTAGAAATCACTGTTGTCTTTCCTGTTTGCCTCACCCTTGACAATGCTGCACACCTCCTTCCTGAAAACACTCATAAAGGCTGATGCTGGAGGTTGACATTCATCTGACTGCAGTTCTCTGAATCAGTCCGAGGTGGAAATGTATATATACAATATGTTTTTTCACTTCTTTTTGCTCTGTCGCCAGGCCAGAGTGCAGTGGCGCAATCTCAGCTCACTGCAGCCTCCGCCTTCCGGGTTCAAGCTATTTCCCTGCCTCAGCCTCCCAAGGAGCTGGGACGACAGGCACACGCCACCACGCCAGGCTCATTTTTGTATTTTAGTAGACACGGGGTTTCACCACATTGGCCAGGATGGTCTCCATCTCCTGACCTCGTGATCCACCCGCCTCGGCCTCCCAAAGTGCTGGGATTACAGGCATGAGCCACCACGCCCAGCCTGCTTTTCACTTCTTACAAGAAATCCATATTTTTAGCAACATGGAGAGGTTTGCATTCTCTCATTACTGAAGTTACCAGTGCAGTTTCTGTGGGGCAAATGAGGAACTTGATTTCATTCTCAGTCTCTGGCTCTGGGCCCGCACTGGCACCCCAAACCCCATGTTGAAAGAAAAGATTGGCTCATGAGGACGAAAGCACTAGTCTTCACCCTTCTCACTAGTTTAACCTGACTTCAGCACCACGTGAGGAAGAACATTTGCTCTTTTGATTTTTAGACATAAAGCTTAATGATGTCAGCTGGTAGAATGGAAGACCGACAGAACAAAAGTTCCCACCTACAGCCGCCTCCAGAGCGCCAGTATGGAGGGTAGTCTACAGGAAAACTAGGAGGAGGTGGAACCACGCCAAGCTTTTGATTCATGTGTTTGCTTCTGAAGGTGGTTTTAAAAAAAAAAAAAAAAGGTGGCATGGAAATCACAGTTTATGCATTCTCTAACAATTCTGAAATTTTGTTATGTAACACTCACTTAGAAGATGTGATTCTCTAAAAGCTGAACTAGTCCTTGTATTGAGTGTGATCCTGGAATAGCAGATCCAGTATCCGGGGCGCCTCTGCAGCTTTTCACCTGTGCCATCGTCAGGGGCAAGCAAAGCCATCCATCGCTGTGATAGACCGCATCACCTCTGGCTCCTCAACAGCCTCACCAGCGAAGGGATACTAGCATGTCCTCCTAGGGGCTCAAACCAGCCAACCTTCTGATCACACCTGGTGGTCCAATTCTTCATCATATGTATCTCCACTTAAGCAGACAAACCAGGAGATAGAATACCGTGGGAAAAGACAGTGTGGCTAAATTAAGAATAAAATATGTAGAAAGATGTGATCATATTTTTGTAATTCCTTTTCTGGTGCCAATTTAGTCATTAGAATCCCTATTATCTCCTGTTGTTATTCTCAGTCACACTTCAGTGTTACCATTGGAATTTTCATTCTCCAGGATAGGGAGACACGGCACAAATTAAATTAATCATAATGAAATATATAATGGCTTAGGGGCCAATGACCCCAAGTTCCAATCCCACAACTTCTACTGAAATGAAATAGAACTTTAGTCATTTTATTTTCTTACCTCTGTCCTGAGGTTTCCCCGTTTGTAAATGACAGCGGTAAATACACCTGCCCTGCTTCTCTTGCAGGGGGTCGTTCGTTACTGGTGTGGTGGCTTTTCGCCTGAGCCTACCATCTGCATGGGTTAGTGGAGAGACCCCGGGTGAGCAGTATGTGTGCTTGATTTCTGCTCCCCCTCTGCTGGCCTGGCCGATCTGGGCAGTGACTCTGGCGCACTTTCTCTGTCTGTCCACTGGGGACGGTAATGAACAGCATTGCCGCCTGCAGCGTTCAGAGCTGCTTGAGCATACATCAGTTATTTCTGCAGATCAGGTTTTAAAGCAGCCAGAACCTCCATGGGAAAGAGCAGGACACACAGTACTTAACAAGAGAACTTAGCTAATTTGATCTGCCATTCGGTTGATTAACCAGCACTTGACACCAGAAGCAGCCTGTTCCTGCAACAGGTGACGGGGAGCGCTCTCATCAATATTTTATGCAAATGCTGGCTCAGTGGAAAGAGGAGAAAACTTTTCCCTCCCCATCATTTTTTTTTTTTAAACAGCAGAAAAGTAATTTCTGGTGAACTGATGAGAATTCCCTATTGCAAAAAAAAAAAAAAAAAAACTCATTTATAACCATTTATTCTGAGAATTAAAGACAGACGAGAGTACGTTTTTCAATTAGCAGGACCCAGGGACTCCTGGCTACAGGGGCCTGCTCCTGAATCAGTGTATTTGTTAAAAGCACAATTCACTTTCATGCTACCATTTTGCTTACATTAAAGAATTGCAGTTTTCAATCAAATAGGAATAAGTGTCTCCCATTAGTGGCACTGCAGATAAAGGGCATTCAGCATTTCTGTTCTCAGTGTCTATTGCTGGCTCAGCTGTTCAAAAATAAATAAAAATTAAGTGAAACCAAAGCTTGGCTGCTCTGCCCAGTACCTTCCAACACAAAACCAGGGTATACCCTCTTCTGTGAGAAGCTTTAAAATCAAACTCTTGGATCGTGGTGAAGGAGAGGTGCAGCTGAGCGGTTCACTTTTCTTTCGCTGCTTTTGCCCAGTTCACCTAGGAGGATGAAGACAAAGGAGACAGCGAGTCTAGCTGGCTCTTGCGGATTTCTGATATCTTTTCTTCCTGCCCCATCAGTAGTTTCAGGTCCTCTCTAAAAGGCGTTACACTGAGGTTTCACCAGACTGGCTGACCCAGTACCCCCGCCGTGTCAGAGGGGCACACTGCCCTGACCCACAGCTGTGCCCATCAAGCCGTGCTATACTTCCGGTTAGAATCACTGCCTTTTTTTTTTAAGTCGTGATCTACCTTTTGGCAAGAAAAAAATATATTTTTAAAATCCCATCTTACTCACCGGCCCCAGCCCGTGTTCCAGGGCAGATCCCCTCAAGAAGTTGTCACAACTGTCCACGTGGAAAGCACCTAACACCTGCCAAGCACCTGGAGCCTCTCGAAGATCCGAGGACTCTTCCTGGCTCGAGGCAGCGTGGCCGTATCTCAGTATGCGTTTCTCCCTTTGGGGAAGTAACCCATTCCGCCATCCTCTCTAACTTGGAAAACACTGAGATGCTTTCAAGCAACGTTAGGATGCTCAGCACCTTCTGCAGCGGCTGCTCAGCCTCTCCAGGCCTGCTGTAGAGCCTTCATGGAGGAGAGGAGCAGGATGCCATGGGCCCACGTGTGGCAATTCAAATGAGGTGTTTGCTCTCAGAAGCAGAGCCTGAAGTTTCTAAGCCAAATGTACTTAAGCGACAGCATCACCCTAGCATGTTGATTTCCTAAAATACACACGCTCTCACTTACCCACAATCCCACAGTCAGCCTGGGCTATTTAGGTACAGGGTTTTGTGCACTGTGGCAGTTGAATATCTGTAACCCAGAGACAGTAAAGGAGTTTATTTCATTCCCCCCCCCAGCCCCCACAAACTGTAGGCAAATCTTCACTGCCATTTAAGGTAACTTTCTGCTTGTTTAAGAATATTCCAGCTGTGTTTATGGTGTTCCAACATTCCCCTGCCAAAACCCTTGACAAATGAATTGGCAATATTTTCAGGGATGTTGGCAAGTACAGACTGGATTTAGCTATTAAATCCTCATTTGTTTTTGTCATATCTGATCAGAATACAGGGATGGGCTTTTGACTATTACAACATGTACACAGTGCTTGGGAGGCTGACGCAGGAGGACCACTTGAGCCTGGGAGTTCAAGACCCGCCTGGGCAAACACAGCGAGATGCTGTCTCAAAACAACAACAACAACCATGTACACAGAAATGAGTCCGTTTTCACACATTTTAGCTCTGCCCACACAGTACCTAAACATTCAGATGTGTAGGAACTTTGGCGACATGGCCCCCTTGACTCCTGACTGCATTTGCCATCTTGTTCCAAATACAGACTTCCTATCTTATCTCAGGGATGAGGTTTTGCCGGCTCTGAAGTAGGTCCTAGTCTGTACCCAGCCTCGCATGCCATAAATGAGTGGTGTCTCTGTGCCAGTTTTAAATAAAGTAACCCACCATCAGGGATGGCGCATCAGAGTATTAATTCTTAGGCCCCAATATTATATTGATAGCGTATGTTTAATGTTGCCACTGCTAAAAAGATACAAGGAAGATTGGCTGCATTAAGATCTTTCTTTGGTTGACTAGGGACTTCTAAAGAAGTTCTCCATAGGTTAAAATCTCCTTCGTCCTACACAAGTTAAGTTATACTTCTTTCACTTCAAGTATAGTGGGCGCTACACGTACTCTTTCAAAGAAGTAACAAAAGCAAAAGGCACTGGCATTGTTCATGCTTTTAAAAGTGCCTGTACTTTTTCTTTTTTTTTTTTTTTTTTTTTTTTTTTTGGTGCAGAGCAAGAATTCATCTAGTTCTGAATTCTCTTGCAGCTGAGGAAAAAAAAGGTGGAACACCTGAGTTAAGATATCCTTTCAATTGAAATGACAAGTGTAATAGATGTGTTCCAAAATCTTCTCTGTGACAGGGCTACGTGCTTTCCTTAGATCTTGTCTGTAGGAGGAAATTACTTTGAGAAACCTTTCCCCAGTCAATCATTTATCTGTTTTAGCAGCAAGAAAGTAACCTCACTGAAATGAGAGGAATGCAGCTCCTTTCATTTCTGTTAGCAACCCCTAACATTCTGAAAGTAGAGATAATAAATAATTGCAAAGGTAAAATTGCAGGTTGGCCACATTTACAGTTGGATTTTTTTGCTACTATATACGTGGAGGTTTTCAGACAGTAATATACATGTTGTCTTACCAAAACTCCCTCCCCACCCAAAAAAGAAAGAAGTATGGCTTCATTATTTTGATACATGTGTATTTTTCCCCCAGCCTTGTTTTTCCGGCATTTTGGTCAGTAGCCAGAGAGCTGATTGCTGAGACCTGACATTGACCAGTCTAGAAGAGTTAAGGGCTGATCCTACAGGATCGGAGCATTTGTCCTGTAAAGACCCAGTGAACACCACTGCACCCAGAAGCTCATTTTTAGTAGAAAGGGGATAGTTACAACCCAAGTTATTTCTGTCCAACGGAAAGCCTTCTGGTTGGCTTGAGAGGAAAAGCCAGCAGCCAGTCTTAATGGTAGGGACTTATGTGATGCTGTGTTAGTATAAACCCATACATTGGAGGCCTAATCCTAAAGCCACCTGTGTGTTTTTAGTGATGTTGAAATGAAAACTAAAATCTATCCATAGGACTTACCGAGACCTCCTGTTTTAGAGAAATGGCAATGGTTAACAAGCTACCATTGCAAGAAATAGTTGACTCTGAAGTTGCTTGACTTCATCCAGAGTGACACAGAGTGACATTTTTCAACAGGCACTCCCACTTTATAAATGACACCGTGATTTTTTTCTCAAGTAATTGAACACAGCACACAATGCAGAACTTGACAGAAACCCCTAAGGAGACAGCTTCTCTCTTACTGCACCACTGCCAATAGAATTAAAAGGTTAAAGAAGTCCTCAGATGTGTCAGACCATTTTTTTGGGTGGGATAAGGATTGTATCATTGGAAGCATCAGTCAGGCTTTTAATTGCATGGTTGTTAGAGGAAAGGGCAATGATTTGAGTTTATAGAAACAGAATTGTATTGTTCTATTGGTAATACTTCTGAGGCCTGATTATTGCTGTATCTTTCTCACTAAGTTACTTTAAAAAGTTCTGCATATATGAAATTGTGGCAAATGCATAAACTGTGCCTTATTGATTTTTGTTGACATTTTACATGTTTCTTACGCATTTTTACCCTCCATTTGGAAACTGTCAGCTTGGCACATGGTACTGGATAATAAGAGCAAATGAAGTGAATGCAGCAATCTTCCTGACTATTAAAAGCAGAATTAGCCCAGCCTCCGCTTGGTTTCAAATCTATCTCCAGTAGATGATTTGCCTTTTCCTCCATTGTAGTTTCAAGACAAGAAGTGGAAAAATAAAAATCTCCTAGTGTTATTTCCTCTGTTAATAACGCCAGGGATGATGAAAATGCTTCTGAAGAGATGTTACTTGGAAACAGATGGTAAATTTGGATCATCTCAGAGCTCAGCATCAGTATGGAAGCCAGTGGAGGTCCTGTCCTCTGTCCCACACTTACATCATCTAGCTGCCTTAGAGAAGGCCACCAAATTGCTTTTATTGATGACAAAAGCTACAGTCAGTCTTAGTACAGCTAGAGTGTTCAGATAGTGAGCTTCGTCTGCTGCCGTGCTGTCAGAGGACCACGAGACAGCACGGCATTCACCGTGAGCTGGACTTCATTCCGGCTTCTTCAAGCCAGCTTAGCCAGGAGGCGAATGTGAGATGAGTTTCTCATGTACTCCGAGTTTTTGTGTATTAAAAATTATAGCATGATGCAAAAAAAAAAAAAAATGCATTGACTTACTTTCATGACTGGATGTCGTTGTGCTTTGGGGATAACAGGCAGGCATTGCTTTCTCTTATTGCTGTTTGATTAAAAGGTGCCACTACAGTATTGACTTGATAATCTCACCAGGTACTCGTGCAGAGCAAAAGAAGAAACTATATTTTATGGCTCACAAATTGATTTACATAAACCAAACAATCTGCTGGTTGTTTGAATGCAGAATGTTCTATTTTGCTTATTGGCCACAGGGGCAACAATCTCGCATTGTTGATGCCAGAATTCTGCTTTTCATGCATTCACTCTGAAATGACAATAGACTTCAGCCTCTCAGTGTTTAGATCTGCTTCATTTGGAAATCTTTTAAGTAGTAATAATAATGTTTTGAGGAAATTGAGTGGAACACTGAATTATTCTCTGATACCTAAGTTCAAACTGTGCAAGTCTGAAGAAGCTGAAAATCAATGCACTTTTAAAGTCATTAGAGATCATAAGTGAAATAAGTCTGTTGCTTTAGCTAACCTTTTAGTGTGCTGTGGTTTTATTATAAAATCAGCCTGAATCTGCATTAATTTCACAGTCTTTTTCTCTAAGAAGCCCAAGGGTGCATGATGAATAAAATGTAAATTTGAGAAGGCACTGTTTTTATTAGTGAAAAGGGCAATGAGCCATGTAGTTGAAGCAGTGACCTGCATGGTGGCCAAGGCTGGTACAAGAAGCAGGAACAGGCACTACAGAGTCTAGTTCTTTTACAGCACAAGAAAAAATAGGCACAGAAAGTTTCACTGGTCTTCCGGCAGATATTCAGAGAAATGTACATTGTCTAGTGTATGTTAGACTTAAGGTCAAATCTTTGATACGTTTCAGAAATTGACAAGTCTCAAAAGTCTTGAAGATTTTATGCAAATAAATGACAATGCACATTTTTTACATTTTATAGCAGTATTGAATATTCTCAGAGTAATGGAGCATTTGTTTTTATTAAAATTAAAAATTACTAAATAGTTTGTAACAGATTTGGTATGTTTGTATTTGCATAGCAACAATTTCTATTTATACATACATATATATATATATATATTTTTTTTTTTTAACTACCTGGAAGGGATTTAGATACATTTGTTTGCTGACATTTTGAGCTCTTGAAATTTATTTGCTAATTTGCCCTTGGTGTGAGGATTTTCTTATTTGCCCCTTCAAAAATCAATGATAAAATTTGAAATACAAAGCCTTCATGTGTGGATGCCCTCAGTAAAGATCACCAGTCAAGGAGAAAATGGAAAATAGCAACTTTTTATTTTAGAAAATGCAAACTAGATCTTGCTGATTTCAAACCCTGTGGCTAAAAACAGTACCCAACTTCCTCCCCTAGTTTCCATTTAAAAAATAAACTAATAAATAAATAAATCTTTCTGCTTTGGTCAGATTAGCAAGTCAGCACTGTGAATAAAAAGCAAAATAAGATAAAACCAAAGAGAGAAGTTGTTTTATTTTTATGTACTACTGAGAACAGTGTCGTCTTGTGGCAGTTCTCGTAGACTGTGTTGGTTTAACAAGCGTCCAACCCTTTTGTCTTGTTGTTTTTTGTCTTTCCTGCTCCCTGTCCCCTTGTTTCCCACAGGCTGTGCGTTTGTCACATTTTCTACAAGGGCAATGGCACAGAATGCAATCAAAGCCATGCATCAGTCTCAGACCATGGAGGTACTGTATCATCTGCCCTTTCTTTGTTTTCTTTGTGCAAATGATGGGGAATGGTAAAGCAATTCTCTCCTGTGTGGATTGTTCACATGACAATCACAGATGTAAACTTTCACCATCTCAGTTTTCATTCATTCATTCTCATTCTCTCCTCCTCTCTCTCTCTTTCTCTATGCATTTTTCCCCTAATGACTTGAAATGCATTTAATAAAACCTTCCACTTGCTCTCCAGTTATTTCTTTGAGGCTTTTATTGCAGTGGCACGGGTCCTGCGATGTAAAATTGTGAGCACTTGAAGCCAAGTGTCATTCCGGACCTAAAGGATCAAATACATTCCCCACCCCAGGGTCGGTGTGGATGAAACCTCCCACCCCAAATTACTGCTTGCCCTGTGCTAAGTCCCAGGGTTCGTTCTTTTATACAGGGTCAAGTTATCTTCCATCTAGTCAAACCGCCTTGTGGTTTTACATCAAGATTGTTGGAGAAAGTTAATATTTATCCCACTGCATTTAACATTGAAAATGCAAATTTGGAAAATAGGATTTGTCTCCTTCCTAAAAAAAAAAAAAAAAAGAGAGCAATAACAAAGAAACGTAATAAAGGCTCAAATGTGGTCTCCTAATGAGAGATCATGGCTTTAGGAGAAGGTAAATACCCTGGTGTGGATGTACACCTACGAACCTAGATAGATGGCTCTGTACTTTTAGTCTGTGATTTGGGTCATGGCCTTTCAGAATTTTGCACAAAAGCATTCCAAGAGTGATATGCCGTTACTTCTTCTGTATTGTCTGATAGAATCATTTGGGAGTGCATGTTCTGCTGTATTATGTATACTGTATCTTTGTGTATGGGTGATCTTTTCTGGAGGTGGCCTTGTGTTATCTGAAGCCATGTTTTCACATTTTGAAAAAAGAATATTTTCAATTTTATTTAATATGCAAAAAACTTTTTTCTTGATTGAGCTTCTGTTTCCCCCCCCCCCCATTTTCTTGGGGTTTTATTTTTTGTTTGTTTTTGTTTGTTTTTTTGCAATGCTGCCTCTCCCAAAGCATGCTGGGAGCTAAGTGATCATTATACGTCATGTTTTGTGGCAACTCTTTTATAGTGAATCGAAAGGTGGGTGCAGAGGGGGGAAGGAGTGTGCATGGCATTGTCATTCAGTGTTTACTGTACTTTTCTGACTTGTGATACCAGCATTGCAAAGCCTATTGTCTTTTTCGAACATTGATCTTGACTTTGATATTCCTAACATATCTTATATAATCACTGTGTTTTCCTTTCAGTGCAATGCATTTTTAAGACACTCACAACCCCCTACCTGACGGCAAGCTCAGGTGAAAATCGGGCATGATAGGAGATAATGAGCAGGATTTGGAATGTCTAGGAGGCTAATCTTGTCTGACACGCAGTTACACATGTGATGATGTTTTGCTTCCCTCTTTCTGTTACCGAGGCTGCTCCATTCCTGTGGATTAGCCTGATTTCCAGCCACATTTTAATCTTCAATTCAGTTTGAAGATTAAAATGAAAGTGCTGTTAGAAGCAAAAAAAAAAAGTCTTTACTTGTATTTATCTTCCATATACGCATTTCATTCTTATTTTTATTTCTTGTAATTTAGTGATTTGTACCCAAGTTGGTCTTACCTGAGATAATTTGGAACCTCAATTCTTCAGTGTTTCTGTTAGAACCATTGTGATCCCCATCCCTTCCCTTGGAGCCCCCCAGTAATGCTCAGAGAGCCACGGAGAACCCACGGGAGACCATGTAACCCTGTGTTCCTGTAGGAGGAGGACTCAGAACCATAAAGCAGAACTGGGCATGAACCAGGCTGAGAAACAGTAGGTTCCCATCATGGAAAGAGTTGGTTTGACCACTGGGGCATATTTATTCCTAAGCCCTTGATCCTTTATTATTAATATCTCTATTATTTAAAAACCAAATTTGGTGTACTTGTTTTAAAACCAGGCATTCATGCTTACACAGAGGAGCCCTCTGACACTTAAATTTCTTGTTTAGTTTTTTTTTTAATTGGCATTTAAATAGGAGTTTATACATTATGCAGTCACATTATAATTGTTTGACTAACATTGTTTATTTTTTAGCTAATTACATTATTTCCAGGACTCTGGCATGTATCTTTAACCAAGATGTATTACCTAATTCACAATGACGTGAATGTTGAAAGAACAAGGTCTTAAAAACAATTAATTTTATATCGTGCCTTTTATTTCTCCACTTGCCTTCACTCTATCCCTGCCCTGTGTTTCATGGTTTAAAAAATTATTTTTTAAGCTATAATCATTGGCCTAATTTTCTGCTTTTATATCATTTTTTACTGTTTAAGGAAGAAAAAAATAGATGTTCTGTTAGGAGAGATGCTATAATTTGTTATGGAACAAATTTGATGGAACAATGACAACCCTTTTCCATGCAAAACCCCCGTCTACGTGATCTTCAAAGTATGTTGCTCTCTTTTAAGTGAAGTACTGAAACATGGAACAGATACAGAAAAATGAATTACAAATTTTTTTTAAACGATGGAAATACTATTTTTGTGCAGTTTGCTGACATTTAACATTCTGTACCATGACTCGGCCTACCAGAGCTGAAGACCAATAGGCTGGAAGTTTAATACTGACATATTCATCTCATTTTTCTCACTTTTTTTATTAACAGACATGATATCCTCATGTATTCAGAACTGCACCCCAATAACTACTCAAGGTGATAAGGAAAAAAATAAATGCATTTGTTTTCCAGAAAAGAGCAACATGACCCAAAGGGAATGGAACAGAGAATCTCATTTAAATAGGAATATAACATTTCTGAGAGGAGAGAGAGAGAGGAGAGAGGTCTATTATCATGCTGAGTTTCAATAAAAGTTTTTATTTTAATCACTTGGGTAGAATTACTTCTTTATACCTCAGCAAAATTGAACAGCTTTAATTGTGATGAAATGTGTAGGCAAGCCACACAAAGGAGAAGAAGAGGCTGGGGAAGGAGGTGGAGACTTCTGCTGAGTTACTTACCAAGTGGCAAATGTTGCAAAGGTGCTTTGGAAAGGAGGTCTTCGTGCTTGGAGTGTTAGGCCCTTATTATCCCTGATGATTTTATCTAGCTCAGAAGTGAACTCTGTGACCTTTGGCCATTTCTTTCTCACTACCCCTACTCCTTGCCTTTTAAAGGAAATTAAAACTGAAAGAAGCTGCTAGAATGGTGAGGTTCATTAGAGAAAGAAGCCAAGTGGACTCCTCCATCTGCTGTTCACGGTCTATCTCCTTTGGCTAGAATGTGCTTCTGTTTTTTGGGTTTGCACCAGCTCCAGGGATGGCGGGTAGAGGGTAGAGCAGTTGTGCTGAGGGAAGAGGTCTCTCTGGAAACGTGAACGGTTACTTTGGAGAATGCCTGTGTTCTCTGAATATCTCCTGCCCTCATCCACATAACTAAAAGGAAGCCCTTCTCCCTGTGATTGCTGGGTCGCTAGGATTTTCACAATCCCAAAGTTCACAGGTACATAACTGAAAATGGGAAAGAGTAAAAGATAAATGAATGAGAGACGTGGCCATTCCCATTACAGATTGTCCCCTTTGTCCTCTATCCATCTGTGGACACGGGCAGACACACAAAGCCAAGTCTGTCTTTAAGACGAGCAAACCGCGAAGCTCAATTAAAGAACCTTGGAAGGGTCTGTTGTCGGTAAGGAGGGTCCTGCAAGGTTGAAGGAAGACACAGGAAGAGAGAAGGAGAGGCAGTTTCTAATCAGAGCAAGAAAGCAAGTGACTTCACCGACCACCAGATCCCCCAAAGAAACTACTGGCAGTATCTGGAATTTTCTGTTGATGGTACTATTCAGAGAAGAAGGAGGAATATCAAACCATTTTAAACCATTTCAGCCCATTCCATGTGCTCCAGCCTAGTGCAGAAAGGTAGCTCCGGTGCTGAGTGTCGTGAGCGGATTCCGCCAGCCTGTAACCCCCTCTCCACTTTCCAATGTGTCTGACCACAGGGCTGCTCTTCACCTATCGTGGTGAAGTTTGCTGACACTCAGAAGGACAAAGAGCAAAGGCGCCTCCAGCAGCAGCTCGCTCAGCAGATGCAGCAGCTCAACACTGCCACCTGGGGGAACCTGACGGGGCTGGGCGGACTGACCCCGCAGTATCTGGCGGTAAGTGCTGGGCAATGCCAGTGTGGTCCTCACCCGCGGAAACTCTGCAAACTGACTTTTCCCCTCCCTGTGCTGAGGCATTCATTTCCAGTACATTTTCAATCTCGGGGAATTACTGAAATCAGCATTTATGCAGGATATTTTTCCAAGTTAGAATGATTCTGTTAAGAACAGGACTAATTGAATTCCTGCCTGATGTAGGCTGGGCAAAGTCCCACAGGTTAAACTTCTAACCCGTGTTTGAAAGGTACCCCAACGCCCCGAGTTAGAAGGTATGCAGCTGATGATGTCACGAGAGGGAGGCCACTAGGCTGGCGGGCGCATCCTTGTCAGGTCAGGGTCTGCCGCAGCAGGACGTCAGGTGAAATCTCCCAGAACTTCTGTTCCACGATCCTGGCTTTTTGCAGTGGAACCGGGTTGATGAAATCAAGTGTTTCTTACTTCATCTATTTGAAACCAACAAAATTCTATTATTTCAAGCCCCAACAGACCCAGTTCTTTCAGCCATTCCTAACATCTCATGGTGTCTGAACTTGAGCTTTCTGGTTGTTTACTCATGCTCTCCGTTTCACTTTGTCGGTGTCTTTATTGAAACACAGTGACCAGAATTTAAGACAGTCCCCACAGCGAGATCTGACCAGGACAGAGTAGTAACCCCTAGTGTGGACTTGAGGGCGTCTGACTGGAGCTTAAGAGCAGCATTTGTAGTAACCATGGCAGATGCGGGCTGGAAGGCAGCCAGTACTCTAAAGATTTTATTTTTATTTGAATTACTGCTAAATTGTGCTCTTCTACCCCATTTTTCTGCTTTGGAACATAAGTGTTGGACTTCACATTTATTAATATAATTTCATATTATGGGTTTGGGCCTTTTATTCCAGCCTTAGAGAGGGTCTGTGTGTGTGTGTGTGTGTGTGTGTGTGTGTGTGTGTGTACCCTACATGTATTGGGTCCTCATTCTGTCATTTTACATTTTAACTATCCCTCTTGGGATCCTGTCACCCATTAGCTTTACTTTGTAGCAGAAGTTGTGCTATTGCATCAAATTATCCTCCCTATTCCACCTTGGAAGGTGAGATTATCCAGCTTGTAGGACAGATGAGGAAAGGGAGACTCAAAGACGTTATATACCACCACCCAGAATCAACCAGCTGCTAGTGGCCGATGGGGCTTCAGCCCTGCGTGTCCCGCTGGCTGGCCATACCGCCTCTTTGAGGACTCTGGGTGCTGCCGTGGGTCACCTTCATCTTTTTAGCTGCCCCACCCCCAGTGCCCAGTGGGGTTTGGTATATAATAACTCTTCAGTCCATATTTGATGAATGAATGAGAAGCATCCTTTTCCTGTCTTCCTCTGTGCTGTTAGCAAAAGCGTTGGCTCAAGTTCCCATCACTTTCTGTCCATTTCTCTACCTTGTCCATGAAGATACCATGAGAGATTTTGTCAGCTGTCTTGCTAAAATCTGTATTTGCTCTGCCATTTTTTTCTTGACTTATCAGTCTAAAAATTGCTTTTAAAAAAGAAATGAGTCTAGCTTGACATTTGTTTTCCACAAATGTGTGTTGCTCAGATGCTCATAGACGATTCTGTGTACTAGAATTTTTGTCCGAGGCTGACATCATGCTCATTCACCTTCCTGTACTTTCTAAGAGTCCGGCTTCCCCCATCCACCATTACTGAGACACATGTCCACTCTGTCTTCTAGCACATCCCCTGTGCCCCCACGGCTCACGGAAATCTCTGGCACATGTTTCTGGGACCGCATCTGCAAATTGTTTGTGTACGTGAAGGAGAGTAAATCTCAGCTTCATTTATAGAAACATGTTGTTAGAAGCTCTCACTACGTTTCCCTCTGCCACGGGTGATTCTTTCTTGGCCATGTTTGTTCTACTCCCTTTCAGCTGAAAAGCCCTTTCTCTCAAAGAGCCCTTAGCTACCTTGAGTGGTAGATGCTGACCCTGGCTCACCAGAGGTTGGTTATCCATGGCAGTAATCCTGGGTGGTGGTTTAATGACACTCCAGGTATTTCCACTTACCTCAATAAGTGTTTTTAACTCCTCTAAACATCTTCAAGGCTAGCTTAATTTTTAAAATTTCAAAACATTGAATATGAGGAGGACGTTGGAGTTGATAAGTGCAAGAGAATGAGAAACCCAACAGATGAAACCAAAATAAGGCCTTACTATTACAGTGGACAGTCCCTAGCTTTTCCCACCCCCTCTTCCCCGCTCTCTTCCTCTTTCTGTGTGTGTGAGAGTATGTGTGTGGGCAAGGAATGGAGAGGAATGACTCAACACAGACTTTTCTTGGTTTTAGTACCTGATAGTATGAAGTCCCGTAATATCATTGTACCTGAGGCTTGAGTTGAATCAGCCAAGGGTCCCCAACCCCTGGGCTGAGTACCGGTACCAGTCCACAGCCTGTTAGGAACCGGACTGCCCAGCAGGAGGGGAGCGGCAGGCAAGTGAGCATTACTGCCTGAGTCCCACCTCCCATCAGGTCAGCAGCAGCCTCAGAATCTCCTAGGAGCACGAAACCGTTCTAAAGTACACATGCCAAGGGGTCTAGGTTGCATGCTCCTTATGAGAATCTAATGCCCGATGAGCTGAGGTGGAGCAGTTTCATCTCAAAACCTTCCCCTCAACCCCTGGTCTGTGGGAAAATTGTCTTCCATGAAACTTGTCTCTGGTGCCAAAAAGGTTAGGGACTGCTGGAATCAGCTACTGATAATTCCACACTGCTTGGTGCTGTTACCTCAATTAGGATCCATTTTCGAGCCATATCCATGTGTAGGGTTTTTCGTATCAAACTGGAAAGACCTGGACTTCCCCAGAGGAACAGTGTTCTAGCTTGTTTCACAGAGCCTCAAATCAATTCTGAAAGCTTTTTTTTTTTTTTTTTGAGACAGAGTCTCGCTCTGTTGCCCAGGTTGGAGTGCTGTGGCACCATCTCTGCTCACTGCAGCCTCCGTCTCCCAGGCTCAAGCAATTCTCATGCCTCAGCCTCCTAAGAAGCTGAGATTACAGGCATGTGCAACCACACCTGGCTAATTTTTGTAATTTAACTGGAGATGGGGGTTTCACCATATTGGCCAGGCTAGTCTCGAACTCCTAACCTCAAGTGATCCCCCCCATCTTGGCCTCCCAAAGTCCTGAGATTACAGATGTGCGCCACCACACCTGGCTCTGAAAGCTGTTTTTAAAATAGTGAATTAATCTTGTTCTTTCTAAGTACATAGTTTGACAACAATATTTCAGTAATAAATGTGGTAAATCTGTGTTTCTGGTATCCATGTACATTTGAATATAGGAGATAACTGTATGCTTGGCGCCACTGCTAACTGTATCTGTACTGGTCTACCTTACCAAAAAGCAGATCCGTAAGTTCAGCCCAACACTCAGTCTTTCACCTAAGTTAACCTGCGGTTCAGCTGAGTTGGACAAGTCCAGCAGCACCCCAGGGGCTCCATGCCTTTATCTCATGGCACCTACTCATTCCGCATGGCAGGAAAAATGCAGCCCTGAAAGCACTAGTGGAAAATGCAGACTTCCTCGCAGGTATATTAATGTTTTTGAAGATTGACATTTACAGTGCGTGACTTCGACGCACATAGCACCAGATAGTTCTAAGTTTTGACAAGCTGTATGTTTCACTCTGCAGCGAGGCCTTTTAAAACGGCTGCCCATTTGCTTGGTCATGTAGTGGTGGCTGCAGCTGTACAGCTGTGAATAGATGCATTCGTGTTCGTAGTTACCATGATGATCTTTATGTGGGCACCATGTGTCCACATAAAGTCAGTGAACCCATGTGCTTCTGATGAAGGATGAAGAAAGCTGAACGGTGCTGGAAAGTAGAAGAGAGGGAGGGAATGGACCCTGATTGACAGAGATGAGTTATGGTAACTGCTAGACTACAGAGAGAAATAATTAGTCACGCTATGTTGGTTTCAATAGATTTAACACCTGGTTGTTAAAAAGAGTAAATTGATTAATTGTTTTAAGGCAGCAGTGTTAGTGAGTTTCCCCAGTGTCTGTGTTTCTTAATAGAGATTAGACATGAATATGGATTTACAGCCCCAGCTCTGGGGACCTTCAGTCCATCAATAGGCAATAGCAGCCAACCCCGTAAATGCAAAGTAAACTGAATTTGTCCCCAGTTTAATGAGGGAGTTACTTTGCTCTCACCTTCTCCACCTAGCCCTGACTTTGTCCTTGTGCATTCATCCGCAGCTCCTGCAGCAGGCCACCTCCTCCAGCAACCTGGGTGCGTTCAGCGGCATTCAACAGATGGCAGGTAAGTCAGGAAGCACGCCTCTCTTTTTGACTATGCCATTGTCAGAATTTGGGGTTGGTTCCGAGGACAAAGAAGAAGCAGGGGAAGAGAACCAAGAATGGTGATCAGACTTGTTAGCTTTCTGTCTGGTGTTAACGTTAGAACCGCCTGCTCTGAAGTGTCTCTGCTACCTCTTAGATTACCCACCCACCTTCACTGTGCATGACAGCTAAGAATGAAGGGGCTGAGAAATCCTGCTTGGCATCTATATCAACAAATGACTAGTCATTTGTTGTTTTTATAAATAAGATTGATTACTGGGGGCTTTCCATCCAGATTCCTATATCTAGGGCAGCCAAATGATTGACACCCCTCTAAAATTTTAATAACAGACAGTCAATAAAAATGTTCTGACCTCTGTAATGAAACCCAGGATTGCAGGCCTATCTTTGATGCGGTTTGCAGCCCCTTGATAACGACAGACAATTAACAGGGTGGCTTTTTTACTGTAGTGCCCCATTTGACAGAATCGTGCATCAGAAGCTTTTATGTGAAAGTAGAATCTTTGTTCTCGAGAAAATCAAAGTGTGACTGCATTTGAAAGCCAGCTCGTTGAAGGATTCCTTCTTCTAATGAGCTGCGCCAGTAGTAACTGAGGTGCGGTGATTAGCGAAAGGTCACTCCTGCCGTGCCACCTTCCGTGCCGATTTCCCTACCTAACATGAGGCCAGGGAAGGCAGCAAGTGCAATAAATCAGAACACAGGTGCCCATTAACCTGCCGTGAGGAATGGTCAGAGAGCCTTTTCCTTGTTTCATTCCAAAAAGGTGGGGGGAGAGGGCAAGGAGAAGAACAGGTTTTTGGCATATTAGAACCAAGCATGGTTTGTTTTAACCAAGGACGCCCTGAATCAGTGCAATGAAACCTGCATGTGCAGAACGAAGCATTTTTTCTTTGTCACCATGAAAACTGCTTTTTTCCATACTGCTGTTTCTTTTTTTAAATATGTATCCTTGGGTTTTGTTTGTTTGTTTTTTCTTGTTTCACTTTGAATGAATCTGGAAAAACTTGCAAGGGGGCCTCTCCCTGGGTGTGGTGTGTGATTGGCAGCCCAGCCGTTGTGGCCCGCGGCTCCTGGAAACTCATCAGCTGACGGTCTTCCTTGACCCGCAGTAAAAACACTACTGAATTCATCGTTGGGCTTTAAATCCATCGGCACCGCCACCTGGTTCCGTTGTAACATAGCTTTTGGATTATTAGAAATAACACATAACTTGAAATGATAGTTAAATCATTCAGCAGCGTCTTTATGAATATGGTTCGGGAAGCTGGCCTTGGAGCTAAGAATCACATTGAATGGTTAATTTATTTTTAATTCTATGAAAGGAGCTGGAGAGAGATAAGTAAAATATTCAGGGGATTTTCTGTGTTTTAAAAGAGAAAACCTCCTGATTGCAAGCTCGAAAATAAATGCTAAGATTTGTCACACTTTCAGCCCATGGGAGATTTGCTTTTCTCGCATGGTATGGACTCCCCGGGATCTGAAATTAGGGGCTTTCCTTAGAGGTGGCCTCAGGCTTTTCTACTCCCACAGTAGGATTATGCAGAGAAGGTCACTGGGTCCTGAGGCTGCTGCCGAGCGTGGTGTCCCGGGTGCACAGCGTGCCCTGTCATCTTTCATTAGGATGTGTGTGCCTGTGCCGCACCAGCCGCAGGTCAGGATGCCAGCCCCTGCACGCTCTGCGTGCTCATTTGAAAACTGAGGGTATCTGGGAGTCACCTTACAAGGTGCCGAGGAGCAGATGGCTAATTTAAAGGCAATCCGTATGTGCTCTGAGCCTCCCGAATTATCAATTTCTTGAATCCTCAATGTGTGAAATTCAGCACACTAAGTTCACATAGGCTAGGAAATCAAACGCTGGACAGGCCATTCCCTACCGTCATGTGGAGTATTCAGAGTCTTCGGAATATTCACAGTCTTCAAGGTGTAGCTGTCGGGCTCAGTGAAGGATACCTTGCATTTATAGGGATCGTCAGGTCTCCTCTTCCTGCATAGTTGAAGTATTATGGTTTGGAGTACTTTTTCCACCAGTGAAGAAAAGTTTATATGGCCTCTCCTACTCTCTTGTCTTGTCCCAGAAGTGGGGCTTACCTCTGCCCTTGCCATGAGTCTGTGCCCCTGTTACGGAGTGATCATGGTGAATGGGCGATAGAGGTTCCTTCCTGGGAGAAGCTTTCCCAGCTCCCCTAAATGTGAGAGGGGCACCTCTCTCCCGCAGAGCCCTTTGCTTCCTTCCCTCTGCCCTCACCTCCCTGGATGCTTCAGGATACTCTGGATACTCTTCGGTGCTCCAGGAGAGCATGACCCAGTGGCCGGCAGACTTAGCTCTCACCCCTCTAAGAGCTGCTCATGAGTGTCCTCGAGTGGATGAGTGAATAGATTTCTAACTCAACAGACATAAATCCCCAGTGGAGCCTAAGTTAAATGCCCGGTTTTTAAATTAAGAAATATGACTTCAGCAATATGTATAGACCAAAGGAATGTTAAACTAATGATAGTATCTTTACAAATGAGTTGTTGAGGATTTGGGGATAGTTTGTATAACATAAAACATAACAAATACAATAGAAAGCATATGGTAGTGGGATTGAAGAAACCCAAGAGGTTATTTATCCCAGACACCACCTGATGTTACAGTGCTTACTGAGTGACTGATACTGTGTCCTACTTAGAGTGGGCGCATCAACAATTCACATGTAATTTTTCTGTATTACATGGACGTATATATAATGATCTCTGCATCTAAAATTCAATCCAGCCTGGAATACTGTCACCAAAAAGCGAAAACCGATTTCAGAAACGAATAATACTTTGTTGTGAACAACCCTCAGAGCATCCCGGTGTGTCCTTGAGGAGATAAGGTTTATAGCTAGAGTGTAAAATGCCACATTTATATGGGTAAAACATTTTCAGTTTCAGGAGAAAATAAAACCAAAAAAAAGAAAGAGAAATTTGAGACGACTGGTTCCTAAGTAGTTGCATCAATAAAATTGAATGAGACGTCAGCTATACTTTCTTTCCCAAAAACTCTTACCATTTTCTCCTCAAACTAAAAATAACTTCAGGTGTGCTTTATCGTTTTTAGCAAAGAGAACCTTTACGAAATACGGAATTTAGAAGCAGAAAATGGATTAGGAACATACCTTGATAAACTGACGGCTTTTATATCTACTTTTTGTGCCTCCTTGGAGTTGGTTGGTTTTTATTTTCCCTCTTAAAATTTATAATAAAAACTTGTCCATTTCTCACTCAGCAGTGATACTTGTTCCGTGAATTTCTGAAATCTCAGAAGCTTGGGGTCTGAGTTTGGGCTGAGAGCTTGGATTTTTCTTGAAAGAGAAAAGGAATAAGAGAAAGTGTCTTCTCTGCCTTTAATTTGTTTATAATAACTATCGACTCCAAAGAGCATCATAGTAGAAAAACCAGGGGTAGTGTTTTACCATTTTGCTTTTAACAAAGCTCCTTTTACAAATCATGCAACTATCCTCATAGCAAGCTGAGGCCATGACTACCACTTTGTTACTACATTACAATTGGAAAAAGGGAAGATGAAAAGGTTAAATGAGTAATGTGAGACCACAGCAGTAGTCAGTGACCTAACAAGGATTAGGATATAGAATTCCCTAATACACAACAACCTGATGAAGTAGGGACTCTAGCCCACTGCACGGCTGGGCAACTGAGGCTTAAAGAGGTTAGCAGACTTGTCCGAAGGCACTAAGCTAGTAGGTGGCAGGACCAAGCTTCAGGTCCAGTTCACCGATGCAAACCCAGGCTGGCAAACCGTGCTCTGTCTCTCAACCCCTTCAGGTGTGTTTACGGCCCCCACACTGTTGTTAGGAAGCACTTCAGAGACAGTTACAGGAAAGCCGCCTCCCTCCATCCTGGAAAACATCTCAAGTTTATCACGAGTGAGTTTTTCTTTGTTAGGGGGAATTTTTTTTTCTAGGATAAACAGTTGTTACTAAACCAATTACAGAGGTTGTGAAGCTGCGGTGGAAGTATCTTCTGATGAACGGGAGGAAACGCCTTTGTTTCCATTCTGATTCTGAGTAAAGCAAGTAGTAATTCCCTTCCAGAATATCTGGTCTAAGTTTTGAAGGTAACAATAGAATTGTAGAGTGTAAATATTTGCTTAAAACCGTGAAGCAGCTCTTCTTTCATCAATTTGAGATCTGTTCTCTTAGAAGACTGTCTTGGTGTCTGGCACAAGTGGAGAGGAGGGAAGACATTTCAAAAACAGTGTATCAGAGGTCTGAGAATGTCAAATTGGAGGCGCTCCTGGAGTTGTGAAGCGTGCTTGGTACATCCACAAAGACCCACGCAGAACTTGGTTCCTCCCCAAGCTGAGTCTCCAGCAGTCCGCACTGCAGACGCTTCCTGCGAATGTGCTAATAGGCCTTATGAGAACATTCTATAACCACCCATCTGTCACTTTTTAACAGACCTGATTGGCAAGCACTTGTAACAACTGACATCTGTTCATGCTTATTGATATGCAGATTTATGGTAATTGCTATGAACAATAAGACACAAAATTACCTAAGGTGAACATTAAATTAAATTTTCATGCCCTTCTCCTTATAAATATTTTTTTTAATCTTAAATTTCAAGTAGGCATATTGCGCATCTGTTTGGTACATAATTTCTTCGTTTTGAGGAGGATTTTTTTCCCCAAGTATTGAATGAAAAGTTGAATCCCTGTATTCTCAACTTTCTTTGCCATCTTCGTAGCCCGTTGTTAGAGTTCCTAAAACTTACTTAAATGTTTTGCATGTTCGGTCACTGGATTATTGCCCCGATTCGAGAGGTCCCCATCTGAGCAGCGTGCTTCATAAAGTCAAATGCAGTTTTTCTTCTCCGAGAGGAACTATTTGCCAAGCGTGTGCCCGTGCCTCTCCGTCTGGTACCCTTTCAGGATGAGCGTGTGGGAGAAAGTGTGACTTGGGGTGCAGACTGAG